GCACCTTTAACCACTATGCCACTACTGCCCTCATTTTAGCAGTTTTAAATATAAGTTGTACGTAAGATTATTTTACTCCTGCATCTTCTCAATTGTTTCTTCCTTATATTTCCCCTTTCCTTTCCTAATTGGTGAGATTTGGGTTGCTGTTCAAGGATCATTTTGTGGTCTTTGTTCAGTTTTAGTCTAGTGATAACCACCATTCAGTGCCCACAGGGACAGCTGTGCCGTTAGCCTTTTCCTGCTGCACCTGCTCAGCGTAAATGATATATTTCTTCCTGTAAACCTGGACTACTTTACCAATTTGCTGACCTTTATAGTGTCTCATACAGTCTGAATTTCTTCATCCTTTCAGATGGGCCTAGATTGAGCATTGTACCTCTGCCTCAGCTCTTCGGAAATGGGGGAAGATATAATTATCCTGTGGATGTGGAAAGGTGCATTGAAATGCCTTTTATGGTTTTTGCTTTGGTCTGAAGTCAGAAAATGATTGAACTTCATTTTGGTTGCTGCCACTTGGGCAATGGCTGCAAAGAGAAAGTTCTCACTATAAGGATTTTAAAGGACTGTTTTTTTTACTGGTAGTCTTAAGATGGCTTATGAAATAATATGAAATATATTATAAAATATTTAGAACTAATGAATAATTAAAAGAATAGCAACCCAAACTCTCTATCATCTCTCATATGGGGGATAATACATAGATCTCTGTAATCTCAATAGATGTCTCCAAGGGTTAGATTATAAAATTGCACTCCTAATTATTGCTGCTACCAGTGACGAACTATGATCACTATCATCATTATCATTTTAACTATCTAGTACAAACTAGGCCCAGACCCAAAATGGCAAGGAACATTAAAAAAAAATGGAAGGTACAAAATTAGAAAATAGTAATTTGTAGAGGATTGGAATGGTAGCAAAGAGAAAATTTTACTGCTTTTTGTGACTCATTCTGAGAACTGAGGGAAGTTCTCAGACCTTAAACAGCTCATAGAGAGTGTTTCTGTGGTAATTCAGTTTGACTGGCTTTGTGAGTTCATTTGGCCATCACAGTGGATCCTCTAAAACTATTATAGTCAGTAGCTAATTTTCAAAAAAATTAAAAATAGTAACTTTCAGAAATATAAAGTGAACATGTCTGAAAGATTTTACTCAACTTTCTAAGTAGGGAAATAGTGAGATGGTAAGTGCAGTTCAAATAGCATTCTTGGAGTTAAATATTTAAAGGTACATTAATAAAGCAATATTAGATTAACATAGCAGTTACATATGAAATGGATTAATATTTTACATGGCAATAAACCGTGATCTTTGAGATTATCCTTTCTAATACTTGAGAATGATTTGAATTCATCTAGGTTAAAAAAAACCTACAAATTAATAAATAACTTTACCATGCTTAGGACCTCTAAACAATATTAACTGTGGGTCACATGAAGTACATTTCCCTAATTATCCTTAGGTGAGTGTGTTAAAGAATGGGCCCATATGACATTGAAAGGACGTATTGTCCTACTTTTAGTCTTATTTCTAAGCTTTGGATAACTTTTCCTAACCTATGGTAGCAGAATATGATATAGGCCATACTTGTTTAGGGATGCCTATGGTAGCACTCAATTTTCATTGATGCTGAAAGAGTCAATGTGATAAAATCAGTTCTCCTAAAGTTATCTTTAAAATCAGTCCAATTTCATTAAAACCCCACGAGTATTTTTCTATTTCTTGGCAAATAAACCCAAAGTAATTAGAAAAAGTAAATGATCAAGCATAGCTCAGACAGATCGGAAGAAAAAATAAAGCATACCTCAGACATATCGCAAGATAATGTATCATTTTAGGCAAATTGCCATGTGAAATAGGAATACTAATTATGAAGATGTATTAATTCAGACATGGAGTATTGATGCAGGATAGACAAAAAACCAAACAAACAAACAAACAAAAAAAACGAAAACAATGAAGAGCCCAGAAAATTGTCAATGTACATTTGAAAACTTGGAAGAGGTGACATTACTAATCAGTGGAGAAAAGGTAGACTCTGTATTAAATGTTGTTCTGCCAGTATTTTATACATTTAGAAAACATTAGATTGTTAAGGAAATATAATAAGAACAACTTTAGTATGATAACTACATAAATGCAGAAAAGCAAAATGTTGAAATCTTTAACAGATATTATACAATATTTTTTAGTTATAACTTTGACTGATGTCTTTAACAGATATTATACAATATTTTTTAGGCATAACTTTGACTCAGGAAGGGATTCCTTAAATAAAATACAAAAAAAAATTGCATCTAAATGTGATTATATTTTTAAAAGTGATTTTTCTCAAAAGCATTATATTTCAGGTACCAGCGGGTGGCATGGTAGTTAAGGCTCTAGACACACTCCCACATGACTGACCATGGTTCGAGTCCCAGACCTGGTAGTTTGCTTTATCACTTCCCTCTCTCTCTTTCTGTGTGTATGTCTCTCTCTGGCCAAATTAAAAAATAAAAGAATGAATAAATAAAGTTAAATAAATAATTCTTTTCAGAAACCACCATATTTTAGAAAAATGTAAAAAGACAAATCTACAGATTGTGTGAAGGTACTTACAACATGTTTGAGAAGGAATTAATATACAGGATGTATAAAGACAATTTATCTAACCCAGTAAAAAAAAGCCACTCGACCTAACAGAAAAAGGGGATACAAGAATTGAACTGGCATTTGTGGAAGAATCCATAAACATAGAAAAAGTTCACCTAGACTAGTAATTAGATAAATTCAATTAAAATCATAATGTGATATCATTTTGAACATACCAAGTATTCCTGAAGGTGTGGTGATTTGCCCATGTCTAAAGAAGTTGAAAATGCCTATTTTTTTCCCTCAAAAATTTCATTTCTAAGAATGTATCCTGGAGAAACTCAAACATTTGCATAAGGAGCCATGTATAGCTGGATATTTCAGCGGTATTTATAATAGCTAAAATTAAAAGCAACATAGTTGTCCATATAAAAGATAAGGGAGAATTATAATTTGCTATATTCACAAAAATATAGTTGGAAATGAATTAGCAAGAATTGCATTTATCATAACCATGGATAGACCTCAAACTTAATAGTAAGTAATGCAAACTAACTTGTACAATGAGTGAGAGACTGATTTTTAAAGCATGAAAATATTTATGTATTCCCATTCATTGCATGCATATTGTTTCTACTTAAAATCACTACAGGTTCAGCTGTAGTGCGTGCTCTGCTGGAACACTGGGCTGTGCGTGCCAGGACTGCATGGGAGGCCTGGATTCACCTCCTGGTCTGACCCCAAGGCTGGACATGGTGGTGCAAGCAATTCCAAAGACTTAGGGAGGCTGAGACAGGAAGATCATGACATAGGGGGACCCTGCTTGTTTGTTTTTAACTTAGTGGAAAGGCTAAAGACAAAAATTTATGTGACTATTACCTGTGTGGAAGCAGTGGAAGGAATAGAATTAGAGACAGATAATGGGGTTTCAACTTCTGTAATATGTTTTTGTTTTTGTTTTTTAAGGAAAATATGCCTTGGCATGGTGATTAAGGCACTGGGCTCCCACATGACCAACTTCAGTTCAAGTCCCAGACCCAGTCACTTGAAAAATCATATTGGGTGCATGTGCACGTGTGTCCAAAATCCCAAGAGGATAATGGAGAAGGGGTTGCAATGTGACATCCCCCATGGGGAATGATTTCTCACTTTTCCTCTCTCTGTCTCTCTCCAGTGAGTGTGCATGCCCTATGGCAAAAATCAAAAAGAAAAATACGATTCAAGTATTGCACAATGCTAAGATTTGACACAGTTGGTCATGGGTACATAAGCATTTATTATCTAATTTCTTCTTTATTTTTCCATGCTTAAAATTTTTATTTTGATCAATAAAGAGTGATATGTTTAAGGTACATATATAAAAATGAAAAAGTATTATATTGTACACTTAATAATATTGATACTGTGTACTGCTCATAGACATAAGTAAATAAGTGGACACACACACATATACACACACAGAAAAGCATTACATGTTTTACAACTTTAACTTCAATAGGAAGGATTCCTTTTAATTCCCGGTAATGTTTTTTCTTGAGGAGAGTTGTAATGAAATATTAGGTATTCAACACAAAGGAACTTTTAGCTGGATATGTTATGTTTTATGTAATTGATTAAGGACAAAAAAAAAAATCACAAAAATATGTCATATATTCCCAGTCTTTTTTTTTTTTTTTCCCCCCCCAGAGGGCACATGTGCTCACTAGAGACAGAAAGAGGAAGTGAAAAAGCTCTCTCCATGGGGAATGGTCATACCCCAATCCTTTCTCCTCTCTTTCCTCCTTTTGGGATTTTGGGTTTTCACACACAAGTACTTGGTGTGCTTCAGTCATGTGGGATCTAGCTACATTAACCACTGTGCCATGGCCTGGCCCCTTCAGTCATGTGGGATCTAGCTACATTAACCATTGTGCCATGGCCTGGCCCCATCAGCTTTTTAAAAAATTGACAGGTTGTGAGCGCTCACCATAAAGAGATAGATAGATAGAGAGAGAGAGAGATAGGAAGATGGAATGTAATCATGCTGCAGTTGTTTTTCCTCTGTTTTTCCATTCTGTCAGAATTTGGGGCATGCATGCACATGTGTCTGGCATGTTTTTCAGACCCTCAGAGCCGAGAATCAAACTGCGATCAGCTCTATGAGATTCAACTCCTTAACCACTAAGCTGTGGAGTCAGCCTGATTTTTAAATTTTTGGTAGAATGTGGATATTTGGTAAATTGAATGGATCCATTTAGATGACTTATTTTTAGCCTTCAAAATAGTCTTTATTTTAAATGTTCGATTAAAACCTGGAGCTTGTATGTAAAAGACAGAGTTTGGATCAGTATCTGAAAAATCAAGTCTTTTATTGATTCATTTATTGGGTATGATAATGATTAACAGAAAAATTAATTGTGGGTATTTTTTTCCTCTTCTCAAAGAATACAGGTCAATGACCAGATTGTGGAGGTGGATGGAATCAGCTTGGTGGGTGTAACACAGAATTTTGCTGCAACCGTTCTCAGAAACACCAAGGGCAATGTCAGGTAAATATGGGCTTCATTCTTAAATATAATTTGATTATTTTATATTTTGTTAAATTTTAGTTTACTGTGGTTTTACTTATTAACATACGCAATTACAATGGAAATTTTGTCTAAATACTGAAACTTTAGTTTTTGATTTTTCCTTATTGTAATTAGTTCGTGAGAATGCAATTTATAATGACAAGGTATAGTACTCTAGAAAGATATGAAGACAAGTGGGTGTACAAGTGTGAATCAATGTGGCTAATTACTGGAGCTCTATTAGTGTGCCTTATTGCTAATTCAGTAAAAATTAGGAAGATAAAATTTTTAGTTGTAGCCTCAGTAAGTTTGAATTTAGTCCCCAAATCCTTGTAACACAACCAGTTATACAATAATTTGAAATTAAAATTACAGTTATTCAGTGATAATCTGTTTTTGTTTTAGATTTTGCCATGGGGCTCATGTGCTTGTCGGAGGGAGAAGTGGGAAAGTGAGAAATCACCTCCTCAGGGGTATGACCTTGATGCAGTCCCTTTCTCCTCCATTATCCTCTTAGGATTTTGGGCAAACATGCATACGTATCTTGTATGATTTTTAAGCCACCAGGTCTAGGTGTGGTGGTTCAGTGATACTTTAAAAAAAAATTTGCCAGACAGTGCATGTACTCATTGGAGACAGCTAGGGTGGACCATAGGGAGGGGGCACCACCTGTATGAGATGATCATACTACAATATCTTCTCCATTTCTTCCTCTTTTGAGGACTTTGGACATCCATGTGCACATGCCTGGCATGTTTCTCAAGCCACGTTGGCCCAGGGTTACAACTGTACAGTTGGCCACATCAGAGCTTGCCAGCTTAATCACTTCACTACTGACTGGTCCTCAGTTATACGTTTAATTTAGATAACTAGGCTGAATGATTTGAGACTAGCAATTATAGTTTAAAAAATCCTGTTTTAAAGAATTAGCCAGGCTTGATCTTTAATTAATTAGAACTTTTCCAATTGAATGGGACAGACAGTACATTCTTTTGATCCTTTAAGTTATATCCAACCCTGGAGTTGTGAAAATTGTAGTGTGGAAAACAAATTAAAACAATCCTGAGCCTACTAAGGTCAAGGTTTGAAATCAGTTTTATTATATCAGAGGTTATTTATTTTTTTTCTTTAAAGCATCGTATGTCTAATGTTTTCACATAAATTCTATGAAGAAACACATTAAAGAGACATTATTTAGCATGTGTAATTATGAAAGTGGTTTTGGTGTTCTCATCAAAGTGAAACTGTCAAATATTCTGAAAATATTGATAGGTTAACATTCCAATAAAGTGGACATTAGGATTTTTTGTTACTGGATGTTTAGTGTTGCACAAGCATGATTTTAAGATTTAGGATTTTGAGGACCAGAAGGTGGTGTGGTGGTTATGGTGTGGACTCTCACATGTCTGACCACTGTTTTGAGTCCCAGATCCAGCAGCTTGAAACTCATGGTGGGTGCATGTGTGTGCATGCACAAAATCTCAGGATGAGAAGAGAGGAGAAGGGATTGTGGCATGATCATCCCCTTGGGGGAGTGATTTCTCACTTTCCCTCTCACTGTTTCTGTCTCTCTCATTAGCCCTTTTAGTATTATATAATGGGGGGCCGACAGGTAGTGTGGTGGTTAAGAGTACTGGACTACCACATGGCCTAACATGATTTGAGTCCCAGACCTGGTGGTTTGCTTTCTCACTTTCCTTTTCTCTCCCTCTTTCTCATTCTGTCTCTCTCTGGTCAAATTAAAATATAAATAAATAAAGTTAAAGAATTATTTTTTCCAAAAGTATTATGTAATGCATTGTGTGACTTTTCATTGAACTTTAATGGTTCTTTACATTGAATAAATATCCATGTCTGCATATATTACAATTAATACATGTGTATGAATTTATGTATTTATTTATTATCTTCTTTTAGTTTGTTGCTTGCCTATTTCATTTTTTAAATTGTGTTTTCCAGAGAATTCTAATTAATCACTTCTTTAGAAACATTCATGCCTTTTAGGATCAGTGCCATAGCCTGGCGGTTTAGGTAGCCAGATACACAATTGCACAATTCCAGTCCTGGACCCGGAAACTTGAGATACACTATGGGCACATGAGTGTGCATGCTCACAATCCCAAAAAGAGGGAAAAATAGAGGAGAAGGAATTGAGCCATACTTCCCAAAGAAAGTACTTTCTCCTATTCCCTGTCTCTCTCTCTGATGAACACAAGCACCCTCTAGCAAAAACAAAAACAAACAAAAGTCTTTCATTTCCTATGTAAAAAATTCTTTGCATGGTTCAAGATGTTCTTCTATTTTTCTTCTTGAACTGTTAATATTTTATTTTTATTTTAGATCAACATGTCTTTTAGTTTTTCATGCATCATGTGTAATAAAGATGGAGTTTCATTTCTTTCCAAATAGAAAACCAGTTGTTTCAACATCATCTGCTAAAAGTACTATTCGTTACAGCCATTGAATTACAGGGCATATTTACTGAAAAGTTAACCATATATTTGTGGATTGATGTTTAGACTCTCTAATCTATTCAACTGACGAGTTTATACTTAGGATGTACCACCACTCCTTGACAACTATGTGGTTAAGCCTTGAAGCTAAGGTGTGGATTCTCTAACTCTGCATATCTTTTTGCCTTTGCATTTCCATAGAAATTTTATAACCAGCTTGTTGAATTCCAGAAGGAAAGTCCTTTGGGGTTTTATTTGGAACTGTTTAGATCTGTATATTAATTTGTAGAGAATAACAACATAACAATATTGACTCATCTGATTCATGAACATGATACATCTCCATATTTATTTAAATCTACTTTTAGTATCATACTGTACTTTTAAGTATAAAGGTCTTAGTTTTGTAAATTTATCTCTAAATATCAAATCATTTTCAAAGTTATTATAAGTGGTGATTTTAAAATTTCAGTTTCTTATTACTTGTTACTAGAATAGACATATACAATTGGTTTCTGAATGCCTTGTGTTCTGAAATATTACTGAACACACTTATTAATCCTATTGATAGTAGGTTTTTTGTAGATTCCTTAGCATTTTCCTATATAATGTATTATATCCACTATTAAGAAAAGCATATTTTTTCCCTCTTCCTTTCCTGTCTTCCAGTCCTATCCAATTTTATCAATTAATTACTGTACTAAGATCTTCAGTATTTGTGAAAAAGAAGATATAGCTATCCTTCTTATGATCTATACCATTCTAGAATATGAGTTCTAAAGTGCCTGGAGATGCACAGAGTGATTTCATTTGGAAATATTATGATATATGGGTGAAGATATGTAAAGTGTTTAATGAGCTCAAGTATTGCAGATATGTAATGACTACCATGAATTTATTATATTTTTGGCAAATATATAATATAAGAAATTGTGTTATAAATAAAGCAATTCAGAAATCATATTCTAGAATGGTAGTTTTGGAAAAGCCTAGGTTACTCTTTACATTTATTTCAATATATCATAGAGTGGGGTTTGAAGGAGTATTATCTATCTACTATAAAGTAAACTATAAAATGGACAAGAGATTAAAGGAAGCAATTAGTCACAAAATGCATTTTAATAAGAGTAGCCAATGTAATAGGTAAATTAGAAGTCATATTAATTTGTGTCATAAATGCTATAAATTTATTTGAGAACTACATTGTCAAATATTTTTCTGGAAGAATTTTTAATTTTATTTATTATTATCTTAAATCTGACCAACGAGAGACAGAGAAAGAAAGAGAAAAAGAAAATGGGAAAGCAAGCTGCCAGGTCCAAAACTCAAACCGCAGTAGGCCATGTGAGAGTCTAATGCCTTAACCACTACGCCACCTGCCATCAGCCCCATTGTAAATATTTCAGTTGAAATATTTCAGCTTCTTTTAGGAATGAAAAAGTTCATTTTTTTTTTACCTCATTCCCAGTGTTACTCAATATAATTTAGAGAGAAAGTTGATATTTGGAAATTACCAACTTGCCAAAGATGTGAAACCATTGCTGCTAATTCCAGCAATGTACAAAAGGATCTTCTTCTTTAAAACTTGTTTTATTTTCTGTCAGAGAGAGAAGCAGACAGATTGGCCCTTTCTGCAGGGTTTTCATATTGTTATCCTTCCCGAAGTCCTGCAGCTAGCTAGGATTATGGGCACAGCCATGGGCATGCCTGGTCTGCCAAAGCAGACCTGGGATGTGAACCTGGAGCCTTCCCACATTGTCTCCAGCATCACACAGTAGCATCCCCACTGCCTATGACACTGACTCTAAGCCCAATGGTGTCCTTAGAAAGACCTTTGAGGTATTTTAAAGCAGAAAATTATTTGAAAAGAAAACCCAAACCCCAAATTTTAACAATAGATTACATGACAATAAATTATAAAATTGTATGGTAAATCAAATCTCTAATATTATGTGCAAGTACCTTCCTTTCCTCAAGAATATGATCTCCAGTTTCAAATAGAATTATTTGAGATGCAAGAACTAAAAGGAATGAATGCATATATGATTAAAGTTTCAGAGGAAATAAGAATTATTTCATGCTGCAAAAGAAACTAGCATTTTAAATCATGCTGGCACAGTTGCCCAAAACACAGCTTGGCTTTCTGAATTTGCCCTTAAATTTTAACACAATCCACTGTTTATTTACTCAATATTGGTTTGTATTCAAAATCGCTTTACTGTCTGATGACATGGAAATGATTTGCAACTGCAAATAAGATAGACAGCTCATCTCATGAAATATACTCCGTTTCAAAAGCGTTATGCTAAAGTACACGTATCTCTTCATTTGAGCAGCTATTTCACAGTGCTGCAGCACCTAGCTACACACATCTTTAAAACCTTGTAATCAGTGTAGTTTATTGTACAGATGTGCAGTAACAGAATGTCATCCTGATAAATATGGCCTGGAGGGAAAACACAAAGAAGTGGAAACAAACTACTCTCTCTGCCTTGTTTTCCTCATGTAAAATTAGTACCTAACCCC